TAGAGACAAGCTCACTTGAGCTGAAGCACAGAAGGCATGTTATTACTCCCATCACCCAGCCTATCCTCCTTTCTTATTAACTGGACCTTCTTTTCTTTGACCTGGCAGTATTGTGAGCCAAATGCTTTGCCATCTTCTCTGATATAATAAAACTTAAGCAGATGTCTACTGGTGGCTTTGGGGAAAACTCAGTTTCTTAAATTACAGAATGGTACAGATGTGGCTTACATTGTTACTTCCCCCACTCTTGTTTGGTACACGGATGTGATGGCTGGAGCTGCAGCAGCCAGGGAAAGGCCTAAGGAATGGCAGAGATATCCCTCCAGGTGCCATGGAGCTGCTGAACCAATGGAAGCTATTACCTAACTTCAGGCATTTTGTTGTGTAAGAAATACAAACTGTATTTATTTAAGGCATTTTAATTTTGTTGTGATTGTTCATACTGGCTGATCAGTGCAATCTTAACTAATATAAAAAGCTAATAAATTTGATGGGGACCAGGTTTAAGTAATGGCCATTGGGAATAAAGAGGCCAGAACAGTAAGAAATATCTTGTATGCAGATGGTTGATTCCACAGGACTAAGTGACTAGCTGTAGGTTATAAGCGAGACGGAAGATTCAGGAATCATTCTGAGGTTCTGGCTTAGAAAGACTTTTCCAGGCTCACCTCCTTCATCTCGTATCTCCCTTTCTTCCGTAACCAGTCCCAGCTCTTTGAAACCTCTCTGCCTTTTCAATATTCTTCTCTGCCAGTGTCTCTCCATTCTTACTACATCCAGTAAACTCCATTTATACTTCACGTTTATTTCAAATATCACCATCTTTGTAGAGCACCTCCTTAATGTCTAAGAGTAGAATATTCCTCTTCTATGGACAGAAATTATCATTCTTTTTAATAATTATAATATGTCAGATATTGTGTCTTACAGTTATTAAGTAATTTTTATTCTTTTAACTAATTTCTGAGATAGGTACAGCTAAAAGTCCTCATTTTACTGATAAGGATTACCGAAGTAAAGAAAGATTTATTAACTTTGAATAATAACATATGAAATATTAATAACAGAGCTCACATTTGAACCCAGAGAATATGGCTTCAGAGAATTTGCTAAACTGCTTCCCACAGGAAAAACAAAAAGAAAAACAGGCAATAATCTGAATGAAGTGACTTCAATTCTCCAACCCTGGGCCAACGGTAGCAATTGTGCTATCCCATCTGCAGGGCGTTGAATAGTTGCCTCCAGAAAGATATGACCACAGCCCAGACTCAGTGAATGTGGCCTTATTTGAACAAAAGGGTCTTAGCAGAATTAATTAAGTCAAGGAGGTTGGATGAGATCATCCTGGATTATCTGGGTGGGCCCTGAATCTAATGAGAAGAGTATTTCTTGCAAGAGACACACAGAGGAGAAACTGGGCGAAAAGGCCATGTAAAGCTTGAGACAGACATTGGAGTTTTGCAGCCACAAGCCAAAGAATACCTGGAGCCACCTGAAGATGGAAGAGGCAAGGTAAAATCCATCCTTATAGTCTTTGGAGGGAGTGCAGCCCTGCTAATAACACCATGATTTCAGACTTCCGGCCTCCAGACTGTGAGTTAATAAATTTCTTGTAACCCATCAAATTTGTGGTAATTTTTTACAGCATGGTGAAGAAGCTGATGTGCCATCCTTGCTCAGTTAGTGCATGGCCACAGTCCATGATCTATCACTAATTTGGAGGAGCAGCCCCATGTATCTTACATGTTCATTTCTTATACACAAAGTCACCTCAGTAAGGATGGCTATTGTTACTAGAAGCTTCAGGTTTTAGCTGAAGAATTCTTCACTGAAAGATAGTATGATCAGAAGCTAAGGCACAGGCACTAAACTACTCAAATTTTAAACCTTTTTCTATCACTTATGTATTGTTAACCGAAGGAAATTTTGTAACTTCTCTGGGCCTCAAAATTCATCATATGCAAAATAGAGAAAAACATAGCAATCCTTTCAAAGGTTGCCTATGAGAAATAACTGAAATGCAAAGCTTTTTCTCTTAACCAGCAATCACAAAGTTGAGACTAAAGTAAAGAATATATATATTCACTTATATTAGGGATAAAACACAAAAATTCTTAGACCTAACTATAGCAAAAGTAGTGTAAGATTTATATAAAAGTTAATTTATAGCTCTAAATGAAGTACATAAATAACCTTAATGATAAGGACTATTATAGAAATGTTAGTACTTCCAAAATTAATGTCTAAATGTTATGTAACTCAAATTTTAATCTGAATGGGCTTTTCTGCTTCACTGTATAAAATGATTCTAGAATGTATATGGGGGAATAAATCTAAGAATAGCCAAGAAATGTATGAATACTTAATAAAAACAAGTAGGCAAAGTAGAAGACTCCCAGGCACTAAGATAATTATAAAGTCACTGTAATGAAAAGCGTATGATATTAGCACAGGAATATGTAAGTACATTAGCCATATATGGCTGAGCATCCACAGAAAGATCCAGTATACATGGGTTTTTAATATAACTTAGGGAGAATGAGTGTATGATTTAATAAATAATGCTAATACAATGATTATCCATCCATGTAGAAGGAAAGAGAATTGGATCTCTACTTTTTTTTTAAGAAAATTATTGGGAAAAAATTTAAGAGGCTACTTGAATAAATTAGAAGGGAAGAAGATTTTCCTAAGTATGACAACAATCACAGAAACCATAAAGGAAAAGTTAGATTTATTTGGCTATATGAAAATTACATATTTTTGCATGGCAAAAGATAGCATAAACAAAATGAAGAAAAAAATTCAAAGATATGTCTAGAAATTAAATGTGGAGGTTTATTTATCTTAGATGCTAGTTATTGAAGGATCATTACATGCAAAATCCTTCATGGAATTCACAGGATCACCTCACTGTATAAACAACAGAAAGAGAAATCTCAAATTGTATCAATCAAACTATTAGAAGAGTTTCAAAGTTAAAATTTAAGCTTTTATTACCCAGAAATACCTTTCTAATGAAACGACATTTCTAGAAAAGCATGAGAAATCACTCCAGTTCTTTATTTTAAAAACGAGTAAATAATAAGCAGAATGGTATTAGTTGGAAAAGATGAAGAGTTTAATAAAGCAAAGGAAACACAAAGACAATGGAAAATAATTAATAAGATCTCAAAATGTCCCCTCTTGAATTTTCTTTTCTTGCCAGAAAGACAAAATTTTGTAAGGATCAACAGACGTGCACTTTTGACCAAGAAGGAATTTTAGAAATGTGACTCAATAGAGAAAACATC